CGCTAACTTGGCTGGCACTTTGGCTAAGTAAGTTCTCAAATTGACACATTTTCTTTACAGTTTCTTCGAGATTCGCTTTAGTTTCTTTATTTTTTTTCGGGGTTGAACAAAGGAAAGTCATTAGAGATTGATGCACAAAAGGAATTTTCTGGCTACATGCTTTCCGCATTATTGAAAACTTACCCGTAAGCAGCGCTGCAATTAACAATGCCAGCAACAACCAGAACACAAACAACAACAAGAACAACAACTACAAAAAATAACTACAGAAGACAGTTGCAATTTTTGATGCTACCAACAAAGTGGATTTTATGCCAACGGGACTTGAGGCACATGCAAGTTTTATGCAAATGGCATGTCGAGTCCTGGGAAATGGACAAAAAAGACACGTTAATGAGGGAAGAACAACTGACAGATACCCTGTGCCCAGAACTGTTTTAGCTGTGTTTAAAACGTTAGACTTAAATTAATCGATAAGGAAGGAGACATAGGTAAAAAGAGTAAAGTCGAGATTGAAGGGTAAATAGAGAGAGAGAGAGAAAGAAATAGGCAAAAAGAGAGAGGGAAAGAGATACAGAGAGAGAAAGAGAGGCAGACAAAGGAGATATAAGGAGGTATAGAGATAGAGAGATAGAAAGAGGGAGAGCTAAAGAAGTTGTGTGAGAGAGAGAGAGAGAGAGAGAGAACAAAAGAGATGAGGTGGCGGATCGTCTATAGAATCAACTTTTTACATCGATATTTAAATTAAAAGTAATTAAGTGAAAGCCAGTCTTTTAAGCTTAAATTAAATTAATTAATTAAATTTAATCGATAAATATCGATTACACTAAAATTCAAGCAAGCAGTTACACAAAGCTGAAGCATTCCAGCCTCAGCTTTCACATTGTTTCTTCACAGTCAGACACCATTGTAGCCTTTACACGCACTGCTTGCAGGGTATTGAAAAAGGATAAATTACTTTTAAAGTGCACAGGCAATGTGCGAAGGCAGGCTCGTTGAACTTTCCCTTGGTTCTAGCGCCTCCTCATCGGCCCAGATGCAAATTGGCTTCGAAACATTTGCCTATTTTTGGCACTCTGATGACTTTCTGATTTGCTTACGAAACAACTTTTTGTACTCGTTTCTTTATTTTCCTTCTTTTTTTTAAAGCAAGTTTCGAGTGTTTTTAGGCGCTTTTTGTTGCCAGCTTGTTTATTATTTGTTAATTGAAATGTTGCAAAAAGTTACGCATGTGTCTGAGCATAAAGCTGAAGCGACAAAGGGAACGGGCCAAGTGTTGCTAGTACTTGGCCTGCCTGATTGAAGGCTGTGCTGTGCTGTGCAGGGCAATTTGCCTTTTGCCATTTGCCACTCCCACATCTAATGTCTAAATCATTGCAGACCAAAAAGGAACAGCAACAAAAAGGAAAAAAAATTGGCTTACTTCACAAACGAGGTGAAACAAACAGCAATAACTAGGTGGAAAAAGTTGGAAACTGCGTATGAAAGCTTAATGCTCTATATATCTTAATGCTCTATATATCTAGAAGCTGTCTATGTGTACTCTATCTATTTATACTCTATTAATATTAGCTTTATATATTTAAATTTTATCTATAAATAAAATTTCCAGCTATACTTTATCTTTCTCTTAACAATCTATCTCTGAAGATATAACCTATATATTTTTAATCTGTCATACTCTAGCCATACTCTATCTATGAAAATATTCGCTCTCCTGAGCTATATACCCCATGTCTTTAGACATGGAACTTCTAGCTTCTTGAACTATTTTTCATAAATTTGCAGCTTTATGACCGAGCTAAGCTACCTCATTTTAGGGTATTACAAAATTATGAAAAACAAACAAGCAGTCCAAGTTATTAGACGAGTTCAGATTTAGTGCTGAGGTTAACATTTTGCTTAGGTGTGGCACGTAGCACGCTTTGAGAGACTCTCTAAAAATAGCGCACAGGGCAGCACAAAAAAAATCAAAGAGTTTGCTGCAAGTATGTGTGTGCGTGTGTGTGCGTGTGTCGTGGCTAGCTCGGGTCTTCAGACTGTGGATTTTGGCCCTGTTTTGGTTTGTGTAACTATTTTCTATTCATTTATGCATTTTGGCAATAAAAATTTCATTTTTTGCTTAACTAAGTGAAACGAAAAGGTTAAACGGAAGGAGACGTAGTGAGAGAGCAGCACGGGAAGAGAAGTTGAAGCAGTAGCAGGAACTAGTTCCAGGACACCGTCTCTGGCACTGAAAGGACTTTTTTATCTTGGGCGCTGCTGTTTGGCCAAGTGTTCCATAGTATATCCGACTGTCTGTCTGGCAGTCCCTTCGTCCGTCCCTCTGTTTGTTCGTCTGTTCGTTTGTCTCTTCCATTGCCTAGATAACGTTTCCGTCTGTCTGCTGGCCCTTTTTGTGTGTTCTGGTTGTTGTTCCCTGTTTGTTCGTGTTGTTTGCAAACATTTTTTAAATTGTTTGCTGTAATTTGTTTCCGGCCAACGGCGAATGGCAAATGGCAAATGGCCGCAACGCCATTTTGTGGATGGTGGCGTATACCACGTAGCGCTCCAGTAAACCCGCAGCCCACAGCACAGAGCCGAAGCGCCGCCCACTCCTTTTTTTGTTCGTCCTGCAACCGCAGCTGAATTTGCAGCTTTGCTCGTTTTATTATTATTAAAAAATTATAATTTAAATATATATATGTCTGCTTTTTACATATCATTTCCATGCATACATTTTTTTCGTGATTCTATAGATAAATGAGTAAAAAATTGGGTATTTAGTTTTGTGTGCCTGGGTATGTAACAGGAAGAGAAGAAAAAGTTGAATGTGTGTGAATGCAGTAGAGTAGATAGAAGTAAGCTGGCATATTTGATATATTGTGTTAGTGTGCAGGAAAAACTATGCTCTGGCACGCTCAACTATAATACTTTAATATCTGGCACGTTTCAACTCCTCTTTCGGCAATAAAAATAAATAAAACTAGAGTATTTGTCAGGGTATCTTTTAGCCTATCACATTCCACTTCTGGGCTCTATTTATTTATTTTTTTTGTTGCTTAGCACGTTTCTCCCCCTTTTTGGGCAACAGCTGCAGCCATATCCTGGAACCCGAACTATGCATCGCCCCTCCATATTCCCTGCTACAGGTCCAATTAGTTGTGTAATGCGTCTCTGCATGTCCTTTCGACATTTATTAGTTTGACTTTTTGCCAGCGATTTATGGGTCGAGCATAAAAATCTATGCAAATATTATTTTGCAGCTGTTGCTGGCGTTGGCAGAAATGAAAATGAAAATTCTATTCTAACGAGAATAATAAAAAATTGATCCAAAATAATTTAATATATATTAAAATGTTCGTGCATGGATATCTACCCATGATATTTGCTGCTCAATTATTCACGTTTATTTTCAGTTGCATAAATATCAATTTATATAGATTTCTTGTTGCATTAAAAATTAAGCGATATTAAATGGATAATTGAGTGCACTCAAATATCAATTTATAATGAAATTTGTCTCTACGAAAATGTTATCAAAAATATAAGCTAAGCTATCAATACTAATGCAAATAGTATACAAAATATATTTTTGGAAGAGAGACCAACTAACTAGTAACTAATTCTCTCTCTCTCCGTCTCCTGCTCTCGCTGTCTCTAAAAAATGACGTGGTTTGATTAGAACTTCATCGCAATAAAAAATATAATATTAAAGATTAATCTTCAAATTGAATATTCAACTGGAAATTTGATCATAAATTATATATTTTGCACTGTTTATATTTATATTTTTATTTGATATACATTTTTTTCTTTCATTGTTTGTTCGTCAAAAATTCCATTATATTTTCTAAATTCCTTGGCCAAATCGAGCTTTGGTCAAATAAAAGTTTTGCCATACCACGTGCTGCATTCGAAACCGTTTGCAAGTCACGTAGCATGTTTGCCAGCCAGAAATTAAAGCCAAGTTAAGCATTAAACAGTCGCATTCGCTGCAATGCATATTTAGAGTCTCGGATTTATCTATATATTTTCTTGCTTGCAAATAAAGTCTACGGAGTTGTTTAATGAGTCATCAAATTGCATTGCAACAACTTTTTAACTTAGTTAGCGTGGAACTCAATTACTACGACTATTAAATACTCTTTCGTTATGTTGAAAAGGTATTAAAAATGGATCAAACAATGCTTATTATAGTATCATTTAAAATTAAATTGGCTTTAACAATGCCAAATATTACATATTAAATATTTTTGTTATTAATTTATTCTAACTTCCTGTTTACTAAATTCTAAGAAAAATTAAGAGTTTTGTATTATTATTTAATTTATATATATATATATTATATATTATATATATATAATATATATTTGTTTAATTTATTATATGAATTTTTTTTATATGTATATAACTTAAAATTTTTTAATTATAAATTTATTTAATGGAATTAATTTTTTGTTGTCAAATTTCAACTTGAACGTGATTTGAACCGAGCATTAAATCCATTCGGTTTATACGAAAGTTAAAATTTTAAATTAAAATCGAATTGAATTTCTTGGATCTTCAATAAAAACTGAGTGTTTATCCGGACTTTGAACCCTGCACCTTTTTTTCCGTTATGCTCTAAACAAAATTCTTACAGACGCATCAATTCGAATTCCATTTTGTACGTTTTTTGTACGGCTTAATCTGCTAAACAAGAACAAAAAACAGCTACTTATCCCGTGGAAAGCAAATTAAAGCGAGTTTGAGTCTCATACTATTCCTACTCTACTCAACTGCTCTATATCAGAACTGGGTTTGACAGTTTGTTACCATTTTAAGTTCAAGTACAAGCTGGCTTAAGCACTTGCCGATGAGGAGTTTGAGCTCATATTTATTGATATTTTATTAAGCAATGTAATTCGTTTATTTATACGTTCAAGCTAAAGTAATATTTCGAGCACTTTTGACTGGGCTTTGCCTATGCCGTCAGCTACTTATCGAACTCGACTCTGAGACGCAGTTAACTTCGAGTTCGAATTCGAATTTGACACTGACAAAGCTGAGTTGACGCAAGCTGAACTTATTATTAACAATCCCCATGCCCGGCCAAACGTCAGCAATCGAATTCTGAGCGACTTTATAAGACTCTCGAGTTTGGCACGTTAAGTCACGTAGTTCGTAGTGCACAGTTTGTTTGGAAGCTTCGATGCGAGCAAACGCGATATTAATTACTGAAAAGAAAACACAAAAAAGAACGAAATAAAAATAAGTTCAAACAGAAACAGAAATAAAGAAAGAGTTATAAAATGCAGTTAGCTTGGCTAAAGCTCTTGCTGTTCAGCTGCCTCTGGCCTGGCTTTCGTCCACAACCCTTGGGCTACAATGAGCTGGAGCTGCTGTTTGAAGAGCAGCAGTTGCAAGGGGAGGATGACTTGGATATGACGCAGGTGAATTGGAGAGCGCTGATACCGTTGCTCCTGCAGCGTCAGCAGTTACGTCTTTGCGTCGCTGTTTACCGTTACGAGCCGCAGCTGGTCATTGGAACACCTTGCGAAAAGCTGCTGGCCAGTGGACTGATGGCATACTGTGACATCGGCCATATCGAGGATCTAAGCATAACAATGCGCGATGCCTTTGGCGGCATGCTATTCGATACGCTGCAAAAGTGTCGTCCCGGCTTGGAAATCTTTGGAGTGCGTTGCAGACGACGTGCCTGACTTAGATTATGGAATTTAACTGAATTGCTAATTCAGTTTTCTGCAGTAGCTGTCCTTGTCGCTCTGTCTCTCGCGCTGTCTCTGTTTTCGTGTCCCTTGTCATTTCAATGTGTCAATAAAAATACGATGTGGGTGAAGGCCTGGGCCTGGGCTGTAGACCAAGTCCGAGTCCGAGTCTGTGTCCTTGTTGAGTTCCAGCATCATGACAAATGACGATTATAATTTGTAAAATTTGCACCCAGCTTGTTATCCAAACGCCCGAGGGGGCGTGGCAGCGCCATCTGTCTCTCTCACACTGTTAGGCTATGGCTATAGCTATGGCCTAGTTCTTGCCATCAGATTCAGTTAGTGCTGCATTGCAATTGTTGTTGCAATTAGTAGAGTGAATGGGTAGAAATAAGAAGATGCTGCAGCTGGGAAAACATAAGCACACTGAAAAAGTGATGGCTTGATTTTTCCATTAAACACTGCAAATGGGAAAATTGCACAGAGCAGAAAGCAAAGGCATTTTGTTCGTTGGCAATTACCGGCGGGTTGGGCAATGGGCGAAAGCATTTAGCTTGAAAATGATGACCATCATGAGTTTTCATTTTCATTTTCATTCTCATTCTCACTGCTTTTGGCTTGTTATTGTTATTTTCTGCTTAATTTGTGTGCTGCTGATGTGCTAAAACACCTCTCTGCATCAATCTCTATATAAATCAAAAAATTGTAGCATACTTTTCGGCTCAGACTGCAAACTGGGCGCCACGGCAGCCCCCAACCTGCTGGGCTCTATGCAAAATGCAGAAGGAAATTGCTTGAAATGATTGCATGACCAGTGTGTGACTGGGTCTGTATGTGTGTATAATCAATATCAATGAACGTTTGTAGAAATTCGCTTCTCAATTATATCACAAAGCTGTAAATGGGAATTCTTTTGTATTTATATTTCTTTTTCAACAAAATATATATAATTAAATAGCTTAAAACAGATATTCTCTAAATATCTTATAATATGGTATGTTGTATATGTTTTCTTTTCTTTATTTATTTATTATATTTTTGTGTAGGTTGACAACATTCGTTAGTTACATAATTGGCAATGTAATTTAGAAGAATTCAACATGCATTCGTGAGACAAAGTTGTGCTTTGATTCTTTGGGTAAACAAATATTTAACGACTGGCAAATAATTTGTCTATTTGTTTTATTTAACAATTTAAAGTTGGTAGTAAAAAAAAATATTTTTAATTATTAGCTAAAACCAAGCGAAATTTGTATATTTGAAGAAAAATTATTTGAAAGGGCTTTGGCTGATATTTCATTGATATATATTTTTTTTATTTTTTCTATATATATTGAATTGAAGGTATTGAAGATAGCTGCTACATGCATAATTGTATAAGAGATTTTATAGCCACATGTTATTACATTTCTAGATTATCAGAAGTATAGAAACCTTTTATTTTTACATCAAATTTAATAAATCCAATTTCAAAATTTACATTGCGCGATTGTTTTGTACTTTGTTATCTATGCGGAATACTAAAACTCTTGTAAATGTAAATTAATGGATTGTTTAAAGTGCTCGGAATATTTGCGCTCAAAGCAACGACTCGGCGGGCTACTGCAGCAGTTGGGCAATAGGTCTGACCAATGAATATGCAAACGACTTGCCCTCGGAGTTCGTGTTCGCCAGCATAAGCGCGGCAAAAGGTCAAAGGGCGGCGGGTCATTAAGGCATTGGGCGCTATGTTTGCACAACTGTTGCAGCAATAGCAACAGCAATGCCAAGTGCAGCTGCTGCAGTTGCTGCTGCTACAGTTAATGTGCAGCCTCGACTCGCCTCTAAAATATGCATAAACAAACGAAGCCGAACTCGTGGATGGCAGCTGCTGTTGAGCGTATCTTTTTGATGCAGTTCTCGATTCGAAATTCGCAGTTCGCAGTTCTCAGTTCTCTTAGCTCTCTAGTAATTAAATTTTGCGCGAAATTCTTTGCATTTCCTTCTTTGATTTTTGCAACCATCCGCTGCACCACTCACTGTCTTGCTATTTGCATTAGCAAAAGCGAAAAGTCTATTAACTTCCACTCGGCATTGGCAATAATTTATGCAGTCTTCCTTTGGCCTGGCCATGGCATGGCATAGCATGGCAATTGATGCTTCAGGGCTGCAAATTATTTGAAATATATTTTATGGATTTCGCTTCGATTTTGCCAATAAATTTGCTTAACGAATATGACTTGCTGATTTTTGGCAAATAAGACAGAATTTCAACTAGTATAAAAAGAGAGATTGAAAATTTCTCTAAGTTAATTGTTTTTTAAGCAAATTTGAAATGGATTAATTTTTTTATAACAATTGAAATAATTTTGGGAATTTATTTAATCACATATATTATTAATACTAGATATTTTTTTAGTTTAAAAATTTAATTTAATATTATTTTTCAGTTAGGCAAAGCATAAATAATTGTTGATTGATGATTTTATTATTATAGAAGAAATATAAATTTTAAAGCAGCGTACAAAATTTGAAGATCTTCTAAAACATTGATGATTGATTGATTGATTGATTGATGACAGTAGTTGAATATCTTTCCCATAATTGTATTTTGTGCCTCGAACACTGTCGGAATTTCTATTTGCCGGAGTTGTATTTTCGCTCACAAAAATTGATTCGGTCTACAAACCAATTTGTAATCCATTCAAGCAACAATTCAGCTGCAGATTGTTTTCCAGCCCTGTCGAAATTACTTCCAAGTATCAGAATTATTGGAATGCTTTGTGTAATGTGGCCTCGTGCTCTATGCAGAAATTGAGCTAACGAAACGGGCCAGCCAAATTGATTGCATTATCGAGCAAAAAGACAATGGGAGCAACGAAAGGTTAAGGCTTTTGGGACGGGGGTCATATAAAATCGAGCTGGGTAACAAACTTAAGTGCCATATGGATGAGAGGGAGACAAAGAGAGATATGTGAGTGTGCTTCAAGGCTCATTTATGGCCACTGCGTGCTGGTCAATTTTATGCATTTCCCACACACAAAGCAAAACCACAGGCAGAACGAGATAGACGGACTGAGGGGGTGCGGGGTGATCGAGAGGAATGAGATTGAGGTGGAGCTTGGAGCATTGTCAGGCATTTGGGCACGTTGTTTACTTTGTGTATAAACCGAGTGGCACTTACTTATTTTGTGCCACATAATGAGCACTCCTGATGGCCGCTTATAAATTATATAACCCACAAAAGCACACACACACACACATGCACATCCGCTTGCACACACAGCCACACACATAGACCCACCCACGCAATTTGATTTGTATGGCTTTTCAATTTGTGCTCTGCTGCTTTTCGCTTTTTTGTGTTTTCCTTTTCATTTTATTTTCCTTTTTTTCTCTTTTCCATTTTTGGCCTGTTTTCGTTTTGCCTTTTCTTTATTTTCCTGCTGCTGCATTTGCCATTGTATAAATTTTTGGTATTTGCGCCAATTTCATTCCAAATTGAGCGCTGCCCACAGTCGTTTATTTTTAATGCACCCAACAACGAATAACCAGCCAAGCAAAATGCCAGCCAGCCAACTAGAGGGGCAGGGAGCGGGAGCGGCCACAAAACCTGAGCGCCTCGAAAGTAGTACAACTAGATTCCTTCATCCTGCTCTTAGCTGCATTACTTTCGCCTTACAGATTAGACGAGAGCATTATTATTTTCAGACTTAACTTAAGCATCGCCTCTCGCGTTGAGGTACATTAACGCAATTTTCATTACATACATTTTAATTTGATAGCGAAACCGTGTTTTTTTATATACTGTATTATAATTTTGTTGGATATCAAATAGTTTTAGTTTTGCGAATTTGCGTTTTTGCAGTAAGTGAATTAGGATAGGTAAATAATGAGGATATGCCAAAAAGGCAAGTAAGTATATAAGTTGGAATATGATCAGGTTTTAAGTTAGCTTAGCTATAACATTTTCATATTGGCTATTAAATAGATAGATTCTTAGCTTGTTTATGAATATCAGCGAAAGAGTATACTATGTAAAAAGTCGATTAATTTCACAGCTGTTAAAACTGTTTTACAAATATGTGAAATACGTTGACAAATTGTTAAATTATAGGCAAGAGAAGCTGATTATTTATATTGATTACATAACGTAAATTATATCTGGAATTATGCGAAAAATAAATAAAAATAAAAAAAATAATGATATTAAACTAAAAATTAGTTTCGAAATAATATATTTGAACAAGCCTATCAGATATTTAATCTGTGTAATATATTTATAAGTACTTAAGTGTTTTTCTTTTCATAAATACATTTTTTAGTTTTTGAATTTTTTTTTAATATTTAAAAATTTGATTCATTTTTCTTTGTTTATTTATGATATATTTTTGTAAATTCATATTTATTTGTTTTATAATTTTATTTTTAAAAATTATTTTTTATTTAGTTTGGAAAGCCTAAGCTATTCAGTGTTATAATTTGCTTGAATATCAATAAAATTGCCTTTAAGCGTTTCCTAATTTAACTTTCGCAAAGTTTTCTTTTGCTTCAATTCCACGCCATCTAGGGAAGGTTCACATGAGTCGCATTCATATTTGAAAATATATTGAAATTGATTCGTTTTTCAAAAAGTTCACAAATTCGGTTTGAAAGCAAGCGAGAGCAGACCCAATGCGATAATCTGTTAGAAAGTGTTGCCAAGGGATAGAGCATAAATATGTCGCTGCATCCGGGTGGCTGCTGCTCATGCTCAGCATTTCGCTCGTGCATTTCTTTTCTTTTCAATTCTGCACTTTTTCTTCCTTTTTTTTGCAGTGCATTTTGGACATGCCAAACACTCGCAGGACACTCAGGCGATTGCAGCAGCCAACGAAGGTGGCCTTGAAGAGCGTAGGCGAAGGCGAAGGCGATGCAAGTGCTGAGTGGGAGAGGCAGCACAAGTGCGCTCAAGATTTATGGCTCATGCCTAGGGCTTTTGTTAAGGAGGGGCTGTGGGCGTGTGGTGTCTATGGCTGTG